TCCAGACTCTAACTAATATTGAGTCCATACTAGGAATTGAGGTTCCCCAGAGATGGCACACCAGGGGCAAGGCTCGAGCTCCGGTTATCAAAGTGGTGCACGTGGAATTTTGGATCATGTAATAGCTTAAGTTTTCTGAGTCTTAGCCTATTCCCTTAGGAAGATGGGATTTATTGTTGCTTAGTTGCTTACTTGTTATCTCTAGTTTCTTTTGATTTATTGCTTCCAAGAGTTGAGCCGAATTCCTTAACCTTTATATTTCATTTATAAGGTCAAGTTTCTTGTTATCAAATACTCTTTCGTAACGCCACTCAAGTTTCAGTTTCACTACTTATTCCTACCCGACTTCAGTTTCGGGGACGAAACTTCTTTTAAGAGGTACGTTGTAATACCTCGATATTTCAAAAACATTATTTACCTATAAAGATCCTTAAAAACAAAACTATTTTTTGATTTCTATGAGTATTATTCTATTTACAATTACAAAACAAATTATTTTAATATAAACCATTATAAGGCTATTTATGATTTTATAAACATTACTCATACTATATATTTTATATGAGTAAATACCAGCCAAGGTCCCTCGAGTTTGGTGGTTTCACCAGCTATAGTCCCTAACTTCAGTAATTACCATTTGTAGTCCTCCGAGTTGCGAAATGTGACCTGCTACCATCCTTTCGTTATTTCTTTCCGTCTCAGTCCTTAAATGCAAGGGTAAATATGTCTTTTGACATAAATAATTCATCAAATGAGGGCAAAGTTGAAATGAGAGGTCAAAGTTCAAATGAGGTGTAGGCAAGGTATTCGACAAAATGTCTTATAGTTGTAACATTGTCACTTGGATGCTCTATTACTTTATGATAGGCCAACAAGACCTAAAATGACTTTGGATATACTTGCACACACCTTCGCTCTAGTACTTGAAGAGTTCTTATCTCTCCTCGGAATTACCACACATCCGATCCATTGCATTCAAATTTTCCATCCATTGAGAATTGAGAACGACATCTGAAAGAACTTCCATTCTCCACTCTACTTTCCATCCACCACTACCTAGACTACGTCAAATTGTTTGCCTCTAGAGGAGTTGTGAGAAAACTAGGAAGAAGAGATGTGTAACTTTGAGAAAAAAAAAATAAGGGAGAAGAGTTGAACGAGAAAAATGAGAGAAACATATCCATGAGAGAGAAATTGTCTGGTGCTTTGTGTTGTCATTTTTCATAGTTTCTTTTTTATTTTTTAAATGAAAAATGGGTTTTTTCATACGTATTGTCAATGTGTATCCCTTCCCACTACAAGAAAAATCACAATTCGCGATGGAATCTTTCCATCGCGAAAACGTGAAATTCCGTTGTAAATTGCGTTTTGCAACAAAATTTTACATTTTTACAACGGAATCCATTATGTAATGTCAAGGCTTGTCGTATTTTATCTCGCCATGAAAATAATCTATCTACATATTGTCAATTGTGTATTCCCCGGTTGTATTTCAACTTTCCCATACCGTTCCATCCATAATACCACCCGAGAAAGCACCCCCATTATTCCCTACATTTTGAGCTTTTGGTGTACAATATAAGTTAGAAAATTTTGAGACAAATTGTGAGCTTTTTCTTCTCTTGTTGGGTCTCTCATGTCAACCAATGTGACATTTCATAAGTTTTAGGGAAAATTACATTTTTCATCCCTAAGTTATAAGATAATTGTAGGATTCGTCTCTAATGGTTGATTGTGCATACTTCTCATCTCTAAGCTAGTTATAATTGAATTCGCAAATTACATCATTTTCTAACAGGATGTTAGTTCTGCTATGTTGTATGAATACATGAAGAAAGAGATCGAATAATATATTAACTATGTATATTGACTTGGAATGAACTAAGGAATACATAGCACATATAGATATTAGTTTTAATGGTAAAATAAATAGAAAATGTAGGAATACAACATATAATAAAGCTATTTACCTAAAAAGATACACTAATATAATTTTTTAGGTCCATTATATTGGAGGGGGCTAGGCCACTACTGTTAAGTTATTGTATATGTGCGCGAATTCGCCAGAAGGATATCAACAATGCAATATATCGGGAGGCCGGTTCCTCGGTCGGAATCTTGCCCAATTAAGGTTAACAAGCTAGCTAGCATGTCTGCGCACTGGTTCCCTTCTGTGCACACGTGCACAATTCTCACCATCCTCAAACAGGTCATTAATTAAAAATGGGGGAGACATTGTGCAACCATGGGGTGGTGGTGTGGTCTGAAGGAGTGTCCTTGTTCATCAATGTCTTAACAAGGGCATCATATCGTTGTCAAGCTCCACTATAACTTTCTCCGATCCCACCCTCTTTGGTTCACCATCTAGCTTCAAGCCTAGCTAGCTTCGCGAAGACCCCACAGTTCCGCCATAAATTAAAACTTGAAGTTATGCCAATGTTTCCCTGAGCATCACGAACCAAGCCACCAGCGGCATATGCATGTCCCGTGTTCCCTTTCCTTGCGCTGTCTGCGTTAAGTTTCACCCATTTAGCCGTTGGTGGAGACCACCCAATGTACTCTTTTATGGAATTTGCCGCATGCCTCACCACCTCGATCGCTAGGCTTCCTCCAAGCTAAGTATATATGATTGAAGACGCCATCATTGCATGCGTGCTTCCACAGCTCCCAGAGGATATGATATGATGTGGCAGAAATGATGAGTTCCCCAGGGATCGGAGATCGCTACCCACCAAAACTCTAGCGTGCGTGTAGCCATCTCCTACCCTCCACCAAGCTCCCTGCAGGCCAATTCAATCATTGATGAACGTGCCTTTGTGATGTTTCTCCAAGTCTGCCTGCAGTAAAGAAATTCCCATTATATTCCTGATATACTTACTCCACACCGCTTGAACCCAAAGTTTTTCCAGGTTTTTGAACGTTTGCTATAAATGGTTGCAAATTTCATCCTAAGCTATAAATGGCGTTGCAAATTTTGTCCCTAATGTTTTGTTAGAAAAAAAAAATAAAAAAATAAAAATTGGCAACATTAATTATAACTTAGGGACGAATACTGCAATTACTTATAACTTATAGACCGTACAATTTTCTCTAAATTTTATCTAAGACTTGAATGGCTATGATTCACATTTCCTTGTGTTTTCTCACAACCAATAACTTTCTTATCCCGCTTATGTGATAAATCAGAATAAAAGGGAAATTGAAGTGTTGACGTATTTCAAGTTGTAAGGAATTATAGCTCAAATAATGAATTTTTTAAGGCTTCTAAACTAGGGGAAAGAAGCAGCGAAAGGAATTAGAAAACTTCCACCAGCCTAGCGTTAAATGTTTCAATTCCAAAATTTATGCCATTAATCGGTTTGAAATTGCACTATCCAGTTTACAACACTAATAAGATTAGCACACCAAAACAATCGACTTACAATTGGAGTAAGGTGTACCATCCACAAAATATACGCACTATAAATAATATAAAAACAAGCACATTATGTTACAAGCGTTAGTTCACTATGCACAAAAATACATTTCTGAAGCTAACTCCAACCAATTAAGATGACTAAGGATCACTATTGCAAAAAGCGATCTAGGCGTCCGCTTAGGCGCTAGGCACTCCTAGACCATAGCGATTTCTCCCCTAGGCGCACACCTAGCGCCTAACTCGGCCGAGTTAGCTGAGTTAACTTGGCCGACTCGACCTTGCTCATTTTTTCATTATATATATATATATATATATATATATATATATATATATATATATATATATATATATATATATATATATATATATATATATATATATATATATATATATATATATATACATGCACACACGTGCACTGTTTTATATTTTTTAGTTAGTAGCCTAGACGCCCGCCTAGGCGCTACTCTACCGCCTGACTAGCGCCTAGCGCCTACTGCAACTATGCTAAAGATACAAACTTGTAATAACAAGGCCACGAGTTCGAATCCCATCCTTCTTGGTTTAAATCAGTCAGCTATGATTAACTAAAGTTGATTTACTTACACACCATCGGATAGTGACTGCGGTCTGCGGATAAACATTAGAAAATAATTAAAATGTAATACTTGAGTGCACATGATAAATATAGGTAAATGCAACAAACTAGGCTAATAATAATGGTTATATTGTATGGCGGCAAATTATTGTGTGGAACATGGTCTACATAGCTGTATGTTTACATATATGTTGCCTTGCTGTGTAACGTATATTTAATTTAATTTAATTTTTTTTTTTTTTTGTAATAGGGTCTAGCCCACAGGCCAGCCCACAACCCACGCGTGCTACGGGTCAATTCTGCCCCATCCCGTTAGGCCCGCATTTTTACAGGCCTATTTTTCGATGACCTTAACCCATCACATTGCAGGCAGGTGCGGACTAGCCCGCGAGCTTCGGCCACTATGACAGTACTAACTTTTAGTATATTAAAAATGTACTTTTTATTTATGAATCACACAAATGTGTTAACATAGCCATGGAATAATGATTGTTGTATGGCACTAACACAACTTAAAGTACACTTATATACATACGATTTTTTATCATCTGAATATGAATGTATATATTATATACATGAACATTAGTATATTATGATCAAAATGTTGCTAATGAAGTGTTGTATGCATCCCATCTGGATACATTTAGGGTGTGTTTAATTCGGACATGGGAATCAGAATCGGAATAGAAATGAAATACTTGGCAATGATAATGGATTTTGGTAAAAATATTTTATATGTTCGATACTAAAGTGAAATTAGAATGATTACCAATATTATTGTTTGGTAATGTATAATCCTATAATAGAAATAAAGGTTTTTAAAATACCAAGAAAAAAAATAAAAAAAAATCAAGACAATTTATTCGAATATAAAGACATCCAAAGCACCAATATGAACAAAAAAAATAAAAATAAAAAATAAAAACAAAAATCTAAAAACACTAATTCAAACTTAAAAATCAAATTACCAATTAGGAGGGAATATAATATAATAAAACCTTTATTTTATTAGGGAATGGATTTTCTAATTAAGGGGATAATCAAATTTCATAGTAGTATTTAAAAAACCTGTCAACCAATCAATAACAATGACTTTGATTCCCATTCCTAATAACTAAACCCATGAACCAAACACACCCTTAGATTCCACACAACTAACACAAGTAATTGCTTCTTTACCAATGTTTTACATATCACACAATCAAGAGAATACTCTAATTAAGACGGATGGGAGTATATAGAAACTCTGATCTTTTCCTTGGCATCTAGAAATTTACACGTAACAAATCATACATGATTTGCAGAATCCATACTGCTAGAGAAGGAGATTGGTCAACCGAGCCACCTCTGGATTCTAGTTCGGCCACCAATCAGGTTTCTTTACAAGGATCTGATTATACTCTGGCCTTGAAGTCTGAGAACATATTGAGATAAATAATTTGCAGTGAGTGATCAATGTAACACAGAATGCTTATGCCTCCCTAGATATTACAATTTATGTATGAGTAACAATATTGCATTAACAATAAAATCACAAAAGGGAACAGTATCAGCATGTTATAGGGAATTGATTTTGATTGTTATAAGTAATAATAAAAAATAATAAAAAATAAAAATTGCTGTTTTTTTTACAAGTTGAAGGGATTTGATTTCTTAGGCAGAAAGAGTTGAAACTCCTACATTAATAGGAACAAGAAGAATAAGATATACACAAAGAAAGATATAATATTTGCAAGATTCAAAAATCCAATAGGATTATGGGATCCTGTAGAGTTCTGAAGCTGTCTTGCGTTTTCCTTAATATGCTCTACTATTTCCTTCCAGCACAAAACAAACCAAATAGGAGCTATGTATCATATCTTAAATGAAATCCCAAACTAGAGGAGTATCCTTTGCAGATGAGGGCAGAAACTACTTGATTACACATAAAAAATGAACTACAACTACCAGTACCACTTAACAAGTCACAGTCTTGCACAGCAAATGATCACTAAAATTCTTCCTCTATTTCATAATCACCAAAACTGCTGCCTGAGTTAATTTCCCATGAAGAGGTAAGATGAAGCATATATATATATATTGGTGAGCAGTCTGGCCATTGATGATCTTTGAGGGAATCTGATACACACCAAGGACCACATGGACAAGAGCACTAGATAGTAACTCCCGGTGTTCCAGATAAAGATCAACATTACAGAAGCAAAGCAAATGGGAATGGAAGGAAATAATCAAGAGGTGCGATTTGTGAACGGGATGAGCTTTAATTCAGGGACGGAATAATGAATCAGTTTGTAATCTATGATTGATAACTTATTTAATAGATTATAAATATGGGCTTCTTCCTTCAGAAGGGGCATCGAGATATTGGTGAAATATTCATCTAGCTAATGAGGGGCATGTCCTAGAACTTGCTGGAGGATACCATTTTGGCATATTGGGACAAGTATTCGTGTTTGGTTGTATATAATATTCCCCAGAAGTCTATGTCTATGTAGTAATTCCTAGTGGTTGTATTATATCAAGACTAGTACTCTCTCTCTCTCTCTCTCTCTCTATATATATATATATATATATATATATTGCATGCACAACTTGGAATATATAACATTGGAACACATTCCTTCTACATTAACTCTTGTCACTTCTCTCTCATCTATCTAACTCATCTGGTATCAGTTTTTGATTTTGTCGATCCATGGCAACCCCTGTGGGCAAACCTTCCTTGCAATCGATCCTTCTTCTAGTAGGACTGTCAGTGATCTTCGACTGCTCCGACCAATTCCCTACAACAAGCACACCACTTTATCTCAATCAAATTAACCACTAAGAATTATTTGTTCTGGTGGGCTCAACTGGTTCCCTTCCTGCACCGTCACGGCCTTTTAGGATATGTTGATGGTGAGTTCTGATTGAGGAGCTTCCTCAAGCAGGGCGTCCAATCTCCCTGGACAACCAGAACTTGTATACTCCCTTGGTCTCATTTTATATGTCTAGTTCGGTTAACGAGGGAAGTTATTTTTAATTCAATTTTTCATAATATTAAGTTTAGTATTAGTATATAAAATATATAAAATTTATATATTTAGAAACTACATTAAAAGTAGTATTAAACACAAAAAATCAATTTTAAAAATAATTAAAAAATTACTAAAGAAAATAAACAAATAAGAAAGATATGATTTGAACAATGAATAGTAAATAGGAAAGGTAAAATGAGACAGAGAGAGTATTTTCCGAGGGCTGCAACTTGATTATCGCAACATGATTATCTTTTCTCACCAACAAGGGTTCTCCGATAACCATTGATGAAATTTATGATCTTTTGGCTACACATCAATTTATATGTGCAGATGACTCTCTTCCTCCTATGGTGAACGCACATGCTCCTACCGCCTTGGTTGCCCCGTTTGGAGGCCGGAGCTCTAATTCCCGTGGGGGTTTCGTGGCCAAGGTAATTGTGGCCATTGTGGTAGAGGGCAGTGTGGAAGAGGTTGGAACTCTTTGTTAATGTTTGAGGGAAAAAGCTTACTGTTTAACTCACTCACTGTATTTCTGATGATTCTATGAAGTCTGAGACTGTACAGTATATATAGGTACAAGGAAAGTTTGATAGCCACAAACTAACCCACTAGAATCTCTAACAAAACTCAAGACTCTAACACTCTTCACTGTGTTATCAGATTTGCTTGAGCTTTGGTCATTATACAATTTCTTGTTACAAACAGCCTTAGGCGCATGTCGCCTCCAGTTTGGATGCATATTTTGTTTCTCCGTTATCTCTAAATTGGTTCCCTGACACGGGTGCGACACATCATGTTACACCTGATATTGTCGAGTTGTCCAATGTTAGGACTATCATGGCACTGAGTCGTCGGTGACCGTACAGGTTTGACAATCTCCCATATTGGTTTGGCTTCAATTCCAACAAGTTCCCGTTGTTTGATGGTATGTAATGTCTTACACGTCCCTTAGCTTACTACCTTGTTATCTGTTCAACGCTTTGCAACTGATAATAATGTTTTCTTTGAGTTTCAACCTTTTTTTTCTTCACAACAAAGAAAACTCTTCTTAAGGGTGTAAGTACAGGACTACAGGGGGTCTATACACTATGGCGGTTACGTCTCCAATTGCTTTCTTTTCACCCAAAGTGTAGTCCCAAGTTTGGCACAATTGCTTGGGACATCCGCATCAACAAGTCATATGTCGTATTGTCCGAGATTGCCCTATTGCAGGCTCACTGTCCTTCGTTAATTCCTTTGTTGGTCTTGTCAGTTCAGGAAGTCTTCTCACTTTCCCTTAGTTAGAGTTAGTCTAGTTATAATGTTTTAGACCTTGTCTACACAGATATTTGGTGTCATGCTCCATATTTATCTAGTGATGGTTTTCGCCACTTTGTCATCTTTGTTGGCGATTTTTCTCGATTTTGTGGTACTACCCTATGAAAGCCAAGTATGACATTTATGTCATATTTACCAAGTTATGTGCTTGTGTTGAGCGTTTCTTTTCACGTCCAATTAAAGCAATCTAGTCTGATTTAGGTGGGGAGTATTGTAAACTCAATACTCTTGTTACCACCTTAGGAATTTCACATCGCCAATCTTGTGCTCACACACATGATCAAAACAGGAAATTCGAACGTCGACATCGTCTTATTGTAGAGATTGGTCTAAGTCTTCTTGCTCAAGGCTCTGTCTAGCACTATGCTTTTGAGACTGCAATCTATTTAATTAATCGCCTTCTGTCCGCTGCTCTTAATTTTAAGAGTCCATATAAACGATAGTTCGCTAGACTTTAGCTTTCTATGTGTTGTTGGGTGCTTTTGTTTCCCTTTATTGAGGCCTTATGATAAACACAAATTGGAGTTTGCTCAGCATCTTGTGTGTTTCTAGGATATCCTAATTCCTTTCAAGGGTATCATTGTCTAAACGGCTAAAGCTCAATAATGGGAAGATTGTTATTGCTCGATATGATCGGTTTTATGAGAATACTTTTCCTTTGGCCAAGAATTTATGTTCGCAGGATTGCAGTTCTGAGGCTTCTTCTACGGTTTTACTGTGGGCAGCTTATACAATGCGTCCAATGGCATCATCCTCAATCCCTGTTCAGTCTCCCTCATTAAATCAGGTTCAACCAACCACATGAAAGCTCCTTGCGAATGACTCATCGATAGACGATGGTGGCACAGCCTACTTCGCCAAGCACAGAACATGGAACCCTGCCACTGCCTTCCTCACCTAAGCACACTTCGATTGAGTTGCTTTGTTCACCATCCATTCCCGATGCATCACCCATGATGCCGACAACGGAACCAATTGATATGGACCAACCAGGCTCACGTCACATGCAAAGGAGTTCTGAATGAGAAAAAAGATAGAGAAGAAAAATTGGGATTTTTTGTTGAGATCCCAAACTCCCTGTTTTTTTAAAAATTTCTGCTTGTTTATTATTGATTGAAGATGACCTTTATATAGGCTAATATAATGACTTCTAATCTGACTGAGACTAAGCTAACTATCTATGAGTTCTAGTCTAACTAAACTATTCTATTATAACAAAAAAATAGGATTATGTCAAAAATAGGATTCTGTCAATTGCTCTTTCTTTCCAAATTTAGCTTTCATTGTGTTGGTCTACCTCGGCAGCAGTACCCCCTTCCCCCAGAATGCATCACTCAGTTCCCTGCCTCTTTACTCCATCAGAATCAAGTATACGGAAAAGATATGCCCAAGTTGAATGATTTAGCAATCTAAACGCCATTACTAAAATTTTGAACATGTTGTGTCCCAAGTCCCAACTCCAGCTCTACTGCTCTACTAATGCAGAAATCATCAAATAAATTCACAGATTAATCTCCTAATCATGATTGCCTTCCCTCATCTCCTAAAGCCAGGCTCCCTTATCAGTTTCAATTATATATTACTTGCAATATTGTCAAAACATATATTCCATAAATGAATCTCCATAGCATTTCCTCAACCTAGCTCCAACCTACTTTGTGTGATAGGTTTTCATTCAAGAGAGAGATTACGAGAGATCCAAAAAGGCAAAAGAAAAATAAAGGGAGTTACAATTCCAGTTGAGTAAACTTTGACATATTTCCTAGTGATTGGGTCCCCACATTAACCTTACCAAAAGTAATTAAGTTGATGGCAGATATGCAAATTATATGGAGCTAGGGGTTCAAATAGGCTAGGCCCCCTACCAAGGGACCTACGACATGACCTAGTTTGGACCTACCTTGGCCTAACCTATATAATAAAGAGGCCAGGCTTAAGCCTATTTAACTAATAGGCCTAGGTCTATATGTTTAAAGCCTAGCCTATAGGCCAACAGGTCTGGCCTATATATATATATATATATATATATGTGTGTGTGTGTGTGTGTGTGTGTGAGAGAGAGAAACATTATTATATATTTCACTTTAACTTAATATATTTTTATATTTACAAAACGAAACCAACTATATATATTAAACCCTAAAACCTAAATCCCCAATTTTCAATTCCCAGGCTTTCTTGTCTCTCCTTGTTTCCCTCCTAGCGGAGTAGCAAACCCATCCTTGCATATTGCATAGCAGTAGTGGAAGCAGTGGAGTGAAACATTTGATTGATCAACAGTTGATCTTGAGTTTTTATCTTAAATTCGATTGTGGTTAAAGATACTTATTGTCACTACCTACACACTTGCTATGTCTTACGACTGCAACTGTTCGTCTATTATTGTTATATAAGGTTCAAAAAAATTTTTAACAAATTAGTAAGCCTTATAAAGTGTATACCGTGTAGATCTTAAATAGATTCTAAGCCTATTTGAAGCCTAAAATAGAGTATGGCAAATTTTACTATGAACCATGACCCATGTAGCAGTGTAGACCATGAAGTAGGTGCTTTAATTACATTTCAATTTCATTTGACAATATTGCTCTATTTTTTAGTTTCATTTTCCGCACACACTAATTTCATTATAGCAATACTAAAGTATCATTTCATTTCACAATATACATTATTGCATGAGCTCTATTTTCCATCTACACTAGTTTAATTATAGTAATGCTTAAGTATTATTTTAATTACACTTCAAGTTTATTTGACAATATATGTTAATGTACAGCTCTGAATTTTAGTTTCATTTTCCACACACACTAGTTTTATTATAGCAATACTAAAGTATCATTTTAATTATAGTATTATACTACAGTTTCATTTGACAATATAATTATTGAATGAACTCTGTTTTTTAGTTTCATTTTCCACACATACTAGCTTCATTATAACAACACTAAAGTATCATTTTAATTTTACTACAATTTTATTTGACGACCATGGTCCACTGTATAACAACTGAGAGTATCTTTAATGACCTACATATTAAATAGGCCTTTAAAAAGGCTTCAAGCCAGGCCAGGCCTATTGTAGGCTTAAGCTTGGGCTTAAAAAAGCCTACATACAGGCTCAAGCCTCATGTTCTCATAGTAAGCCCAGGCCTAATTTTCCAAAGTTTGGTCCGGCCTAACCTATTTCTATCTCTATTTGGAGCTAGAGGTGGGCTCAAAATTCTACAAAGTAGAACTTCTTACTCACCCATTGTTGAAAGTAGGATTTAGTAATTAAGAAGTGCAAAAGAACACTGAAATGCAAACATCGCACATATCTAGTCTGGTTTTACTCTTAAATTGGCTACATAATTTTCAATTGAAGAGAAGTTATAGACAAATCAAAAAAAAGAGTTAAAGAGAAGGGTTATACGTTGATGAATAACTAAGTGCTTAGCATAACTGATTTTCCAGGAAAATGATCATGAAAAGGACTTGATGGATGGCATACTGGGCCTGGGTCATATGGAACGGCCCAAGAAAGTAACTGGATCAAGGAAGCCCAAGAAGGATACCCAATACGGAGTAACATAGGAGTTTAATAAGGATTGGCTTAGCATTCATAATGTAATAGGGATTGGGCTCATTATCCTAATGCAGTAGGATTAGGGTTTATTATTCCTAATGTAACAATGACCCCAATAGGCAGTCTAGGATTTCTATTCATTATAGGGCTCTCAACCCAAAATATGTATAAATAGACAAGGACAAACAATTTCCACTATTCACAAGCAATATTTATCAATACAAAATACCTATATTCTCTCCATATATTCTTTCTATATTTTTCCTATATATTCGTTATTTTAACGGTGATATTAGCCCGCTATTAACTACCCAAAAGTCATAAAACCAACCGGACTAATCCCTCCAAATTCAAAGATGTAATAGAAATAGTTCATTTCTAGCCTGATGTGTAGACTGAAGGGCAGAATTCATAGATCAGAGTTAATTCCAGCAATGGTCCTCCGACTATTGCGATTTTCCAAAATTAGTCCTCGTCTTTTAATTTGGACGAAATAGACCCTTGACTATCAAATTTGTTCCAGCAATGGTCCTTCCGTTAAACATCAGTTTGGTTGGCGTTGAGTGGAGGGGTACAAATGTCATTTCCTTTATTGTTTTCTTCTCCGTATATGTCTCCAGAGATGTATTCTTCATTCCTTGAATTTTTCTTTCTATTGATTCTGCTTTCTTTTTCTCAAGTTTGGCACTACTGGGTTACCCAGCGATGTGATAATCGAAGCAGATGGCATGACCTTCCATCTTCACAAGGTTTGTGTTATTCCCCTCATTGATTCAATGAAACTTCCAGTATAGTGTATATATAGATAGACTCATGGAGTTCTTTATGTGTTTTTTGTCGGCTCAGTTTCCTTTGATGTCAAAAAATTGAAAGCTTCATGAATTGATAACAGAGCAGGAGGCAAAACCCAGTGGTGCTAGAGTCCAAAACCCATATGGCGACGGCGATGGCAACGGAGAGATAGAAGAAGAAGGTGTTGAGGAAGAAGGTGTGGAGGAGGATGGGAGGAGCTGCAATGTCACATCTCGCTCCCTAATTTTCCGGGCGATTACGAGACTGTCGAGGCCGCTGCCAAGTTCTGCTACGGCGTCAAGATTGACTTGTCGGCATCCAACGTGGCTCCGCTCCGGTGCACGGGCGAGTATCTGGAGATGACCGATGAATATTCCGAGGAAAATCTCATCTCGAAGACGGAGAGGTTTTTTTCACAGATTGTCCTCAACAGTATCAAGGACTCCATCAAAACACTCAACTCCTACGAGAAGCTCTTGCCGTTGGCGGAGACGCTCGGCACTGTCCATAGATGCATTGATACTATCGCGGCGAGAGCTTCCTTTGGAGATCTGTTGTTATTCGAATGGCCGATGAGCGACGGCGCTGCCAACCGGAAAGCGATTCTCAACCAACATTTGTGGGACGGCGTGGGAGCCAATACTCGCCGGAAAGGCACTTCTAGAGGCGACGCAACGGACACGTGATGCGAAGAGCTTGCATACCTAGGAAGAAGAAAGCAATAAATGAAATGACCCTTGCACCCCTCTACTTAACGCCAACTAAACTGATGTTTAACGGAAGGACCATTGTTGGAACAAATCTGATAGTCAGGGTCTATTTCGTCCAAATTAAAAAACGAGGATCAATTTTGAAAAATCGCAATAGTCCTCGACTATTGCGGGAATTAACTCCATAGATCATGACCACTGTTCTTTTCTAATAGACAATGGCACCATACAACAACACAGTCAAGCATGAATGGATCTGGAACTCTTGAAGCCTTTTCAAGGTTAAAAGATTGACAACAGATAAATAACTGCCTTCTGATTTCTAAATGAAATTTTTATGACAAATTCCTTTGTGCTCTCCCCATGTTTAACAGTTTAAGAAACATGCTATAGATTCTTGTCAACACAGTTCACATCCTATGATCCTAATATTCAATTATTGCAATTGAGAAGAATAAGATCACCTAATCTTCACAGCACAATTCAAACCCTAAACTACAGTTATTACAATTGAGAAGAAACAGGCTTTTTCTATATAGAGTTCTTGATGAATCCCTACAACAGGTTAGGATAAGTACAGATATTGATACCATATTTACACTACATCAATCAAGCTCACAGATCAAGCAAGTTCAGAGTACTGCTTAGATTTCAAATTTTGCACAATCAATGTGAAATGAAGTAATAACACGATTCATGCAACAAGTATCCCGAAATATAATCGAAATTAGATCTCACCAGATCCTTGAATATTATATAGGCGATGACGAAGAAGAGGACGAAAAGGATCTCGAACTCGGCGAAACGGACGAATGCAAATACTTTGTTCACCGCCCGAGTCAAGAGCGACGCCGACTCGTCCCTTCTTCCACCCCTCACATCACGCTTCGCCATCGATTCGCTTCCACTTTCCAGAGAGATAATCGCTTGTTCCAAAGGAGCCTTCGACGTCGGTCTAATGATATCAATGTTTTCGAATTTTTAAATTTTAATGTGGGAGGTGTATTGATATATTGATGTAAGGGGACATTTGGTTCACGGAATTTAGATTACCTTAAGAAATGTTAGATTGCTGGAAATGTTAGATTACTACAAATGTTAGATTACTACAAATGTTAGATTACTGTGTTTGATTTAAAACTAAGATATGTAAATAAGACAACGATAACTAAAATATGTAAATAAGACAACGATAATAAAATAAATTGATTAAAAAATACAAGCCCAACATTAGTAATAAGATAAGGGAATGTGAGATTACATAAGAAATTGGAGGGTATCTCACATTCCCTTTCAATAGTTAAAAACTTAATGCGGAGGTTATCTGACATTCCCTAGGAAAGTTACATAACTTGAACCAAACATGAGAATCTTATATTACCAAACAAATATAACCTTAGTTATCTTATATAACCTGAACCGGACGCCCCCCTTAAAGATTTTTTTTTTCTTTATTTTTAGTTTTAGCTTTTGAATTGCTACATAATACAAAATATTTTAGATTAAAGTGTCATTTCGCGAACCATTTCCGATTATTCATGCAGCACCCTAATTTTTCTAAACGTTTATTTAGATCTACAAATCATTATTATTATTTTTTTTTTGCCTAGAACTTTTAATAGATTTTCCAAGTTACCTGATGACATGGCGCTGGTTTTCGGCTGATTTGGTGTCCATGTCAGCTTTATTAAAAATAAAATATATGAGATGGAGTCCACATAGCTTTATTAATTAAAAAAATGTTAAAGTGTCATCCCGCACCATGAACCATTCCTGATTATTCATGCCGCACCATGAACTTCAATAAGTGTTATTTCAAGCTATAAAGTATTTTTTTTCCACCTAGCACTTTTTGTAGGTCATTCGGTAATGAGTATGACATGGCACCGGTTTGCATCTGATTTGGCCTTATTTATTAGTGACGTGGAATCCATATAAGCTTAATTAAATAAAAAAATAAAATAAAACTGAGTTAGTCGTGACCTCCCCCAAATTCTACCCAAACCCTATTGTCCGACTCCAACGACTACTATCTGAATTCTTCGACGATTGCAGTGCGAAATCGAAAAAATCCCCAATCTGATTCTTTAATCGGCGAAATCGACGAAATTCCCATTCTGAAGATGAGGCGGCTGAAGTAGATGAATAAGGTACTGCGAATGTTGTGAACTATTATGTTGATAAATATGTTGTGAACTGCATGTAATGTTAATGTATATAATCCTTTATATTTTCTTTCCAAAGTGGGGTATGTTGTGAATACAATAAATATAATCCTTCAGCTTCGAATTTGGTACTATGTATATAATACATAGTGAATTTTGTACTGTGTATATAATATGAACTAGTGGGGTCTGATTTCTTTATCTTTTTTGAATATGTGTGTATAAATGTGGTCTTGCATAGTGCTTTGCAAGCTTATTTTTGTCAGTTTGTTATGTATAAACTATAAAGTCATAAAGGATGGTCTGTGGTCCTTACTTTTATGTTTATAATAATTGTAGTCCTACATAGTTGTTGGTAGGCTTATTGAATAACTCTGTGGAATTAATAATTCACGATGGTGGTAATTTTGTGAAAAAACCTAAGCTACAATATTTGAATGATGAGACTGAGGTAGTGCATTTGGACCCGGACTTGATATGTTATCCCCATTTACTCAAATATATAAATGAGCAAAGATATGTATCTCATCACCTTCAGTGGAGAAATTTTTTGGCAACTGAATGGAGAAATTTTTGGCCAACCACTGAAGGTGATTATGAACGGGGAAACGCTTTCTAGCCAACAGTCGGAAGAGGATCGCGATGTAACACTCCGTGTTACGGCCCCTAAAACCATTTAATTAATCAATCAATAAGCCCAAGAGAAGGAATAAATCATAATGATTAATTAGGAAAGTCCATGGGCCCTCATATATAAACCCAACCCCTAAACCCAATCCTTAGTTCCGAAAGGAATAGAATTAGCAAGCCTATAATATTAGTTCCTAATTAGGACTCCTAAATATATAAATAAGGGACTTAGGAGACACCTAGAACTTCCCACACGCCTAAACGCCCCACCTCCCCAGGAGAGCTCCAAGAATTCCCTTAGAAGAAAGCAAGAAAGCAAGAAAGCTTAAAGAAAGACCCTTCATAGCCAAGGAACTAATTAAGGCTAAGAGGTAACCCATGTCTCAACAAAACCTATTTTCATAGTTATGATTCCCCCTTAGGATTTTCCCCATATTATTGTGTATTGATGAGTTATGATGATTATTATTGATGATTGATGTGATGATCCCATGGGGCATCTTGATAATCTTGATGTTGAGAGATTCTTGATAATTATGATATTCTTGATGATTATATGGAGTTCCTGATGATTATGTGTTGTTCTTGATAATTGGGTGATGATCTTGATGATTATGTGTTATTCTTACCGAATCTTGCAATTAGAAGACGAACCGTATTCTTGTTGATATAAAAGTGATTAGAACCCTAGGTTGTATCGTATGATCTTATTCTTGGATTATCGGGTGGGGAAATCGCATGTTTGGGTGTTGATTATACTTAGAAAAGCATGATAGGTTATGTGCCGTTCGTTCCTCGTATTTGATTCGTTAATTGTCTACGGGTTGTCGTTAATTGTGTTGTAAAGTGTCTAAGCATGGTTTCGGGTTCCATAACGGTTCCCGGGGCGTAAAGTGTGTGAAAAGAGTCAATGGGGGGTAGGGGACCCGCCACCTACCCATAGCCGTAAACCACCGCCTGGCAGCGGGTGGCCGGCGGGCGGGCAGCTGCCCGCCGGCGACCCGCTGCCCGGAACAGTAGAAACCGGCGGGCAGCCGGCGGGTGGCCCACCACCCACCGGCTACCCGCTGGAAAGTCGTCCCACCCGGGACCCCGGCTTCCCCGTTTGACGTCCCCCGTTCCCCGTGGTGTCCCAACGGACCCCGTTTATCGTGCCTATGTCTAGTTTGATGTTTCGGGTACCGTTCGTAGGTTTATGAGTCTGTTATATCGCATGCTAGAGGAATTGGTATCCCGTTGACCTAGGTGAAGGAAGTATGAACCCCTTAGGACTATTCTTAGTATGTGATGGACCACGCATAGGTTTGTTATACACTTTATCCCCCTTCCCAATGTGTAACGTGGGTTGCATGTGCTTGTATGTGTTATGTGTGTGTGCTACCCCAATTCGGTTACGATCGGATTGGTTATCCTGAGCTGCGGTTCAGAAGCTGGCTGCGGTCAGATTGGTATTCCTGGCTGCGGTCAGATGACATTCTCTTGGGCTGCGGTCCACCGTTTGGTTGCGATCAAACGTTTCTATACGAGCTGCGGTTCGTCATTTTTCCTGGCTGCGGTCAGATGACATTCTCTTGGGCTGCGGTCCACTGTTTGGTTGCGATCAAACACTATGATGAGCTGCGGTTCATCGGTCGGTTGCGATCGACCCCTCCGTGTTGCGATACGGGGCAAGGTGCTGCGGGGCCGTGTCAGAGCTATATGCGCTGACCCTCATGTATGGGCATGCGATTGGTCCTGTGGCGCCAACAAAGTGTGTTATGTGTTGTGATATGGATGAGTTGTGATTATGAGTGTCTTGGGGGATGTGACTATGGGACTTATATTGGGGATTGTTCATGTTGGGTTATGATTATTGTTTATGCCTTGCCTTATCTGCCTTATCTATTGTGAACTGCATATGCTCGTTATAAGTGTTGCTTGTGTCTGGCCTTATCTGTCGAGTCATTCCCGGTTTTAAAGCTAGAGTTCGTAGGATATATCTTCATGCTCATAATGGTTTTCGTATATCTATATATATCTCTATATGTATTGTATTTCAACGCGTTGGAGTGGGTTACTAGCATCTCTCGCTGAACAGATATATTTGGCTTTCAGGCGCAGAAGAATAAGTCACTGGAGCGCGCTAGAACTTGGAACGTAGAAGTAGATAGTTCCCTTTTTGGCCTGCGTGCCATGCTTATGCGTTTACATTATTGAGGATATTAGTAGTTAGCCTGTGCACCTGAGTTCTCTAGCTCAGGTGTGGCATAGCACCCCATACTCTTGTATTATGTTTTGGGATTTAATGAGATTTCACCTTTATTCTATAAATTTTAAATGTCTTGAAAATCTGGGGTGTTACATGCGATCTGCTTGAACGGAGTACGAAGAAGGGTAAAAAGATCATCGGCGAGGCGACAGACCTCTCGATGGACTTTACGACGGACGTCGACGTTGTTCTGGAGACACTGATGGACGACATGGGGGCGTCGACTGCGCCACTGTCCATGCAGGTATCACGTGAGTGAGGTCCACCGAGTCCAATAATGACTCCCGTTGTGCCACAGGTACAGGAGGCAACACGGTGGACCTACGCTGAGACCGTGTCAGGCCAAGCGGAGCAGACGTCAGGGCAAGCAGAGGCGAGGGAGGTTGAGGACCAGGATGCTCTGTCTGACGGGGAGGACGATGATCCGCTCTGTCCAACAATCTGGTTGTCAAGGGCGGAGATAGAGCAGATCAGGGCGCCATGGAGGAAGGGGAGGACGATGATCCGTTCTGTCCAACAATCTGGTTGTCAAGGGCGGAGATAGAGCAGATCAGGGCGCCATGGAGGAAGGAGATCATCGTTAAAGTGATGGGCAGATCGATCGGCTACACGTACCTGTTGCACCGTCTCATCTCCATGTGGAAACCGAAAGGGAAAATGGATCTCATTGCGATTGATAACGGATACTTCATCGTGCGGTTTGGAGCGATAGAAGATTTGGAGCATGCCATGTTCGAGGGTCCATGGATGGTCATGGACCACTACCTAATCGTGAAGCCATGGGTGCCGGACTTCGACCCTTTCTCGGACGTCACAGAGAAAGTCTTAGTATGGATAAGAATCCTTGCTTACCTGCTAAGTATTATAGTCTAATCTTCCTCAGGAAACTCGGGAACAAGGTGGGAAGGACGATCCACGTTGATCAAGCCACGAGC